TGGATCTTGACAAACACTTATAAAACCGTCAGCTCTCATGAGAACTCACTATCACAAGAACAGCATGGGGGAAACTGCCCTGTGATTCATTTACCTCCCTCTGGTTTCTGCCTTCACATCTGGGGATTATGAGGATTACGGAGATTATAATTCAAGATGGGATTTGGGTGGGGACACAAAGCCTAACCATTTCAAATAATATAAGATGTACCAGACACTTAAATGTAGGAAGGGGATGCAGCTATTTTCCACCCTCAACAGATTTCTGCATTTGTTAAATTAACTTATTCTCACAAAGTTGAGCGTTAGACAAAGTCCTATCAATGAAACAACATTTTCCCACTTATTTATGCTAATATATTCTCAGAGATGAGAATCCTTAGAACTAAGACTGAGGAGTGGGGAAACTGAGGAGATGTCATACAAAAGGGCTGGGCAGCTAAGAGGGCACCAAGTTGGAGAGTTAAAAATATCCTTGAGGGAGGAAGAGACCCCACAAAAGTGTAAATCAGTTGCAGTAAGACCATGAGACTGATGAAAGCCACTTTCTAAGGTCTGAGCTTATATGTCAAATAGAATGGAAATGGTAATGCAGGGGTTCCAGACCACATCCAGATCTTGAAGAGTCCTCTTCATCCCTTATCTCTGAACTCACTTTTACTGAACTCTGTGTGCAGTGCCCTGTGTGGAGCAGGCAGGAAGCTGTGATACTGCTGTGTGCACACCCTCTGCAGGACCAGCTTCCCCACACCTAATCCACTTGAACTGATTTAACAAAAGTGGGTCTCTGTTGAGGATGAAACATAACTGAATCCCCTTCCTCTGTTGAAATTCAAGTATTGGCATTTCTGTCTATTTCACCTTATTATTCCATCTCTTTTTGTCTAGGATCCCAACTCCTTCAAGACTTAAAATTGACTGATCTTAATACCTTTTCAGTTTCTGCACCTTGCTCCTGTTTCCTCAATTCCCTCCCTCTCCAGATTAGAGTTCATGGTCCATAACTTTATTCACTTCCTTCAGTGAGCCTTCAACCACCCTGCCCTTCACCCTCAATTATTTTCACAGACTAACCTCTCTAACCCCCAATTTAAATTCAACTATTAATAGATTATAGCTAGAGAACACTGATCTTCAAAACTATTGACTAGCTGCCTTGTCTGTATTGAAAGACTTTCACTTCCTTTCGCTTTGTGACATTCCACTTTTCTACTTTTTCCCTTCCCTTTCCAGATTCGAGTAGCTCCGCTTTTGTTTTTCAAAAAAATGCTGATGTTCGTCAAAATTCCATTTTCAACATGCTATTTCTTACTTCACATGCTTCCTTGGCAAGCTTATCTATTCTCAGTTTCAGTAACCATCTATTTGGTTACCATTTCATAATCTCTCTGATGAACCTGCATCTCCCTTAATTTTGCAGAATCTTAACATCAACATGAATGTCCTGGAGGCACCATAGACTCTCCACCTGTCTAAAACTGAATTCATGAGCCTTTACCTCAAGCTCATGCCTTTTCCTGCATTCTTATCTATCTTCTAGTGGAGGCAAGCTTGCCTGATTTGTCATTTTTCTTTAGTGCCTCCAATCTAATAAACCAATAACTTTATTTACTATTCCCATATGTATTATATCCTTATTTCTGACAAATCTTTGCCTGTATTACAGTGTTAGACCCTTGAGTCATCTTTATTCGGTCTTTTTCAAATATGGCACTACAACCAGAGTGATCTCTCTAAAACTTATGTTTTTCTCCTTTCAAAGCCATACCAGTTTAACATGACATGCTAGACATTTCGTCATCGGCACCTTGTTTACTTATTCAGCCTTACATATCCTCCCACCTCTCTCCCTCATACTCTGTGTTCCTGTTTTAATCTACCAAGCAGGCCATAGTGCCTTTACTTTCTAGGTTTTTATATATTTTCTTCCGTGTCTGGAGTGTCTTTCTTTCCCTACTGAAGACTTGACTGAACTTATCACTAATGAACTTTCAGGACTCAGTTTAGATAGAATTTCTACTGGAAAGCATTTTCTGTTTTCTGATGACTTAAAGCTGAATGAGAGTTTTCTCTACCCATGCGGGGAGCCCATAGATCCTTGAATTTACTTTTATATCACATGATACTAACATTGCATGAATACCACCTTTTTTTTCCAACTGGATCGTAGCTCCTTGAGGGCTAGGGCAGGATTATTCACATTTTTTCCCTAGCATTTGGCACCTACTAAGTTGTTATCACATGTTTGTTGAATGCATGCATGAATGAATGAATCAGTTGCCACATTTCTAGTAACAGCTTTGGGTTCACATTAATTGATGAAAAGGGAATCTTTACTGCAACAGATAAAACTGATTACATAACAAACGAAGACCTGGCGTAGCGCACTTAGCCAAATTAGCATTTGGCTCATCTCTATATGGAGTGGCACAAGCCCATTTCTGTACCACTTACTATTTGGTTAAAAATACATATATATATATATATATATAAGATTTATAGCCACAGTGACGTTCCTGGCCTTTTTAAACCTCATTATGGCCTTTCTGTTTTTCAGGTTTTTCATTGATAATCCTTATCTGGCTTTAAGAACTATAAAACACATTATCATACTTCACTGTAATTTTTAACACCAGTCTGGGATAGTTGTGTTTTTGTTTTTTTGTTTTTTTGTTTTTTGTTTTCCTTTATAAATGAGCAGGGCAGACAGTTAAAACACAAAGCAACAGATTGCACTGAGAAATGAATAGGTTTGGAGACTACAACTACAAACTACCTTAAAGGAAAACTCATTCAGTTTTTATTACCTTATACCTCTAGGTGCCAAAACTTGCATTTAATTCCCTGTTTTAAAGGAGATTTTATGTCTACCCATAATCTGTGCACATATAGCTTGCCCAAGAGAGGTTAGCTCTTTTCAGTTAAAATTGATCCACCTTCGTCAGACTTGTGGTTGACCAGCAAAAGACTGAAGGACATGAATCTCTTAACTCCTGATGGGCTTGGCCTACACATACCATGTTCATTTTAAGTGTGGAAAACATCTAAAAATATACTTTCCTGAGTTTCAGAGAAATCATATTTACAGTTTCACAGAACAGAAAATGTTAAACTTAATTCGATGCTTAACACCTAAAGTGTTATTTTCAAATCACAGAAAAATGCTTTTTGCTTTCTAAAATATCTCTATAAGACAGCATAATTATTCTAAATAATTTTAAATAATTATGAGAAAGCTTACTGACAGTGATACATTTTTTTAATCAAAAATTTAGTTAGCAATTATTAAATTTAAAGGCCAGATACTCTGAACAAAACTATCTGATTCTTTTTTTTTCCTTTTTTTTTTCTTTTTCTTTTGTTTTTTTGAGATAGCATCTTGCCCTATTTCCCAATCTGGAGTACAGTGGCATGATCACAGCTCACTGCAGCCTAAACCTGCAAGGCTCAAGCAATCCTCCCAGCTCAGCTTCCCCAGTAGCTGGAGCTACAGGCATGTGCTGCCACATGTGCCTAATTTTTTGTACTTTTTGTGTAGATGGGGTCTTACTTTATTGCCTTTGCTGGTTTTAAACTCCTAGCTTAAGTCATTCTCTCACCTTGGCCTCCTTGGCCTCCTTGGCAAGCTTATCTATTCTCAGTGTCAGTAACCATCTATTTGGTTACCATTTCATAATCTCTGTGATGAACCTGCATCTCCCTTAAGTTTGCAGAATCTTAACATCAACACGAATGTCCTGGAGGCAATGATTTAGTTAGCAAATTTAGTTAGCAATGATTAAATTTAAAGGTGGGATTTAAAGGCATGAGATAAACTGCTGGGATTAAAGGCATGAGCCACTGTGCCTGGCCGCAAACTGCCAGAGTCTTAGAAGTATTTCCAAGATCAGCAAAGTGTCCAGCTTAGTTGATACTGGACATAGAAAAAATTTCCAGTTACTTATTTCTCTTCAGAGTTAATCATAATTAGTTTGTACTTTTTAAGATTTGATCTGTATAGTAAACTTACTGTTTCTTATGGACATAAAGGAAAGTTAGTTCAATCCATTTCAGGCAGGATGCTCAACCTTTCTAACCAAACACCTTGGGAATTAAAATATGGAAATTTCTCAATAAAAAAGAAAATTTCATCGTTTTTCCCACTTAATAGTATTAATCTGTATATATTCGATAATAAAACTTAGAAAATGAATTTCAATCCACTTTTTTATGTTCCATAGTGAATTTGCCTACTTTTCAAGAACATGAGGTATTACTTAGAGCCTAGTAAAAACACATGTGCTACACGGAACACATCTCCTACTACATAATAAATTTTAGTGAACGAATTTCCTGTCTGTATATGTAGAATATAAGTGAAATGTTGGTTTCCTCACTGCATCTTAATAATAAAGAACTGATCTATGTGAATGGTTATTGTAATATTAAGGTAAACTTTTAAAAGTTAGTTTACAAATTTTCCTGACAAAGTATTTAGCTTGGGCTTCTGACTGTCTTCCCTTCTTTCCTACTTACCCCTCTCTCTCTTCTTGCATTCTTCCTTCCCTTCCCCCATCATTTTTCCTCCCCTCCCCTCCCCTCTCCCCTCCCCTGCCGTCTCCTCTCCCCTCCCCTCCCCTCCCCTCCTCCCTCTCCTCCTCTCTCCCCTCCCCTCCCCTCCTCCCTCTCCTCCTCTCTCCCCTCCCCTCCCCTCCTCTCTCCCCTCCCCTCCCCTCCTCTCTCCCCTCCTCTCCCTCCTCCTCCCCTCCTCCTCCCCTCCCCTCCCCTCCCCTCCTCCCTCCCCTCCCCTCCTCCCTCCCCTCCCCTCCTCAATACGACAACTAATAGAATTTTCAGAAAACACTAAAAAATATTAAAGTAACATTTTTCACACTCGCACTGTAATCTGAATTTGCTTGCAGCTCCAAAGGTTTTCAGTAATGTCTTCGAAAGAAACAATTTTCATAAGAATAAAACAGTTTCCTCAAAATTCAGATTTTACTGTATTTTTTCTCTTACAGAATATTCAAAAGCTCTTCCTGGTCTCTCCACTTCATATGCCACTTTGTTAAGAATTAAGAAGAGTTCATCTTCATCTCTCTTTGGTTCCAAAACCAGACCACGATACAGCAGCCCTCCATTGGGAACACTGAGTGCTTCTTCACCCAGCTGGCGAGGGGCAGCTCAGCATTATTATTCCCCCGTCAATCTTTATCATTCCTCAGATGCCTTCAAACAAGATGGTAAGTGTCAAAGAAAAATGGCTCCAGATAGAATAAAGGAGGCAAAGAAGACTGATTTAAGACTCTTGCAGTAGAGATCAAGACTATTCCGATAGGAGAGAGTGATTTAACTCAACTCTGCTAAAAATGAAAACAGGAGAGTTTTTAAAGCTGGGGTGAGCTAGTAGAAAATTGGAGGATGATAGGGGAGATACTGGTTAACGTGACTAGGCCATCTGTGTTTATTGATTGGTGCTTATTGAAGTTAGGCTACTATCCTCTCATAGAGACTGGGAGATGGAGACCCTGTTTCTTGATGGTTACATTTCAAATGGAGAGCTCCCAGGCCCTGAGACAGACATTACTGGGTTACAAAAATGACGAGAGCCTGAAAGACTATTTACATCTCAAAGTGGCAGAGAATACATTTACACTTGCAGCTTTCTAAAGTAAATGCTCTAAGGAATGGGAGATTAGAAGACTATAGTCAGGAAGAAACCTGTCTAAAGTTTATAAAGGTGAGAGGAGTGCTAAGCTGTGTTGGTTGTAAGTTAGTCTTCTGCTCTAAACATCTTTAAAGAATTTGTGTGCATTTTTATTTAATTGCACTGTATACCAATTCTAATTTAGGATTAAGACTAAATGCATTCATATACTGAAAGTAAAAATAGACATTTTTGGGAGGGTAATTTGACAGTGAATATCAGAAACATAAAACAGACTTATCCTTCAATCCAGTGGTTTTATTTCTGGAAGTGTATTCTGTGTAAGAAAATAATAAACAGAGCACATAATGATATGTATATAGCATATATACTATATGCTTAGCATTACTTAATGGAAAATAAGAAATAATCTATACATCCAACACTAAGATATCAGTTAAATTAAGGACTGATCTACAGCTATTAGCTTTATAGTTTGAACGACATTTTCTAGATGTTCTCTACCTTTATCGTTTTGGGATCTATCGACAAAATAATGCCTGGCTCATTAACAGCAAGACAAACTGGCACCTGTTATTACTAGTCTCTGTCCAGTCTGTTTTATATAGAAATGAGTTTCAGTTTTCTCAACACACATGTGAAGTAGATACTGTTACTGTCTTCTATAGAAATGAAAACTCTGGGACAGATAAGTATTTTTCACAATGTCACACTGCTAATAGGTATCACAGCCAATTTTTATTCACATCAACAATGATACTAAGACTAGTGCACTTAGGCTACATTTCATTTACGACTGATGAAAGAATAAACATTCAAAGATACATTTTAGAGGAACTTAGATACTGGAAATATTCTGGGAATGACAATTAGGTGGTGGTGCCAGGTGCAGGCAAACTTATCCTTTGTGATTATACCAATTGTTGCCATGTGGAACATTGTCTCATAGTGTTGGCATCTAAATTATATGTAAGCATTTTGTTAGAATTCCAAAAATGTTTTATTTTCCAAAATACTTAATGTGAGTTTTTAACTTTCTATTACCCTTAAGCCTAATATGAAATGTAATCAGTCAGAGATGTGTTTGGATTTGTTTTCTTTAGGCATTATTATCTTGTGGAAAGGCAGTAAGGTAGAAAATCGAGTGATCAGAACTATGATCTACTTTTATAGTTGGTATAATTTTCACCTAACTAGTGTTCTGCCTCCTTGTTCTCTAGTGTCAAATGGCAGTTAAGGTGGTCACAATGGTAAATATAAGTATGAATTCAAATCCATGCAAATAATGAGAACAATAAATATTGGGACATGAAATGGAGCCAGCTGTGAGACCAGTTCAAGGTGTCTACTATTAATGCCTATACACCTACTGTGAACTGGTCCCGTTTTGGGTAATTAGCCAGAAAAGAAAGAAAATCTGGTCAATTACATATTTCACAGTATTTCAAACATTAAAATGGAATTGTTATTCAGTAAAAGCACAACTCTCTGACACATTGATTAGACAGTTTTTTTTTTTCTGGAAAATCCTCATTAAGAGTTTATTAGATATGATGGCCAGTGACCCGAACATGACTTTTACTGTACCCGTGATAATAAGTTTCATCTCTTTCAATAAAGGCAGATGCAACCCAAACAGAAACAACAAAATGAGAAGAAATAATTCTCTAAAACTGTGCTCCTCAATCTTTACAAATCAAACCTCTGTTAAAGTAAGACACGCCTTCAAAGATTGAGGTAGAGCAAGATAATCTCACTTACAAAAAGCTCCCATGTGATGGTGATGCTGCTGGTCTGTGGACGATACTTACTGAGTCACAAGGCTCTGGGCTGGGGATCAGTTTAATATAACTTAGTCCTCTGCTAATTTAGTTTAATCCATATTTAGAGTATCAGGAAGAATGGATAATCTGAGTATTTTCCAAGTAATCTTGCGTAACTGCTGTTTTCTCTTCTGAGCATTTTATAAATCTTAGCTAGATGCGACTTTGAGTTCTTTCTCTCTGACAGGAGGCTGACATATGGCTTTTGTCAGGTAATTCCCTTTAGCCTTAATAGAGAGTAAAGCTGAGGTTGACATGCTCTTGTGAAAAATGAGGAAACTAACAGAGCCTGAATAGAAAATCATCCCACTCCTGTTCAGAGTTAAGCCAAGAAATACCCCAGACAGAGCAAAGATTTTTATGAAAAATATAAAGACTCAGCTTGCAGAGCAATTTGGGGAAGCAATTCCACTTCCGGATATACAACTTGGAGAAACCTTTCCATATGAGTACAAAGAAATAAAACGCATCTTTACTGCAATATATGTCTAATAGTAAAGGTTGGAAACAACTCAGATGTCCATCAAAAAGGGAATGGATACATTGTATTTTTTTTTTAATTTAATGGAGAACTAAAACTGTTAAAGTGAATACAAAGAAAATGGATAGACCTCAAAATAGAGAGTGAACAAGGTGAGTTATGGAGTATTATTTATAATATGATATCACTTATGTAAAACAATGGAAAAATATATCCTATTTATGGATACACATAAGTGGTATAATTTTAAAACATGAATTTGAGATAGCAAGTTGACTACAGTGCTTACCACTGAGGACAAAGGGAGAATGAGAGCAGGAAATAAGTACCAGGAGAGGATTGAATATACATTATCTCAACTTAGTGATACTTTATTTCTTGAAAGAAAAAAATCTGAAACAAATATAACACCTGTAGTGACTAGACACTAAAATGTCTCACAGTAATTCCCACTTCTTGGCATTTACAGTGTAATCTCTCACTTTATCTGTTGGCTATGGCTATTAAGTTGCTTCTGGAGAATAGACTATAAATAAAGTAATGGGATATGACTCCTAACAGTGGGTTACAGAAGCCACTGGCTTCCATCTTGTTTTTTTTTTTTTTTTGCTTTCTGGCTTGCTCATATTGATGGAAGTCAGCTCATGCTGAGAGCTGTCCTGTTGACAGACCCACTGGGAATGGCCTCTGGCCAACAGCCCAAGAGTAAGTGAAGCACTCAGTCTAACACCCCTAAGGAATTTGAATCCTACGAGTAGTCACGTGAGTGAGTTTACAAGTGTATCCGTACCTATTCGAACATTGGGATGAGACAGCTTCCCACCTTGTGAAAGACACAGAGCAAGGGTTGAGCCGCACCTGCTTCCTTGACCCACGAAGGCTGTGAGGTAATCAACACATAATCTTTGTTCATTTTCTGGGCTTCCTTTCTACTATTTTTACTATAATTCTATATATCTGCAGAAAATCATTCTCATAGTTTCATAGCTTTAAAGTTTCCTTTACATATTTCCTCTATTTTAAATTTCTGTGTCATCTTGTGATCCTCTCAACAGGTTGGTATTCTTTTCTAGGAAGCCAGTTCCTCTATTCAGCCCAGATTTGTTTATTCAGGTCTTGATTATGCATTCTTCTTTGTTCTCCTTTATATTTTGTACAAGGCCTACTTTTTAGTCCTATTTGTTACATAAACAGATGCTGCAGAGAAAATCTGTAAAAAACAGCAAATGCTGCAATTAGAAGAGATAAAATTTCAATCTTTCTACTACTTGCTCACAGTTTATATTAAATGTATTATACTTTATTCATTACATTAGAAATTGTGAAATATTTAAAATATAAAGGAAATAATTCATGAAAACCTCTTGTGACTATATATATTAACTTTATTAAACTTTAATCTTTTCCCAAATTTGCTTCAGTGTTTTTTGACATAAAATTTAAGTTGAGAGTTCTTATTTTGCTTGGATTGTGTCTCCCACTTTCTCCACTCTTAGAGGAACCACTGTACTTACTTTGTCATTTATATGCATGTGTTTATATTTCTGTACATATGAAGCCTATAATATATGAAGCCTGTATTTCTGTACATATGAAGCTTACGTACTGTTTTTTAAAAAATTTATGTCAATGATTCTGTGTATATCATTCATGATCCACCTTTTCTGGATCAACATTATATCCTAGAGATTCATGTATCTTGATATCTTCAGTTCTGAGTTCATTTCATTTCCTATAAAGCATACTGCACTATGACTCTATTACAATTTCTTTATCCATTCCCTTTTTGTAAATATTTTGGTTGTTTCTAATTTTATGCTGTTATATGTCAAATGCATTTTTTCATGCCTCATTGGTAATTGTGTTAAATGTATTTTAGGAGTGCAATTTTTATATAAAAGCATTGTAACATTTCCAGATACCTTCAAATTGCTTTCCAAAGTGATTGACACTTGTACCAACATGGTATGAGTGTTCATATTTCTCCACATTGTCACCAACATATAATTTTTTGGCAGTCTCTTGAGTATAGTACAATATTTTATTGTGGTTTACTTTGCATTTTCTTGACTAGTGAGGTTGAAATTTCAAATATTGGACATTCTGGATTTTTCTAACGCATATTTCTTATTTACATATGTTGACTGTTTCTATTAGAATATTTTACTTTCATTGAACTGTAGGAAATTTACAAATCAATTGATAACTAATTGATTAAATGCATTGCAGATATATTCTCAGAATGTAGCTTATCTTTTTACTGTTTCAGTA